TGTAGAAACTATGATTATGCTGACATGCTAAGTAGTTCTGATACGCAAACTTTTACTTCTTATATATGGACTAATATTAGTAGCCTGTGTAGAAACGTTTGTCATGTATCCAATATCCTGATGACGAGCTAGTATAAACCAGTGATTTCTTTGAGCTCGCTTCTTGATTGTGAGGTAGAGGTTCCAGATCTTCGGTGAGCTTCTGCGTAGTAAGTCCCGACACTCGACTGCTTTAGCTCTGGTAGACTCCAGGAGGAGTGGTGCGGGGATTGGTCGAGATGTGGTTTGTAGTATGCAGTATGTTAGGACTGTATTGCTGCCGTGAATGGAGTTTGACCTAACTCCCCTTGGTCATTCGGTGTAGTCATAAAAGCAGAATAGTAATAATAATAATAATAGGTTGTAGTGTAGATAATATAGGTTGAGATAAGTGGAATAATAAAGGTGACCTAAGGAAAAGATAGAGTGAGAGAAGGCAGAATAGGTCGTGGGGATTTAGTTAGTACGCTTATTCATTGACAGTTTGGTTTCAAATTTTATGAGGATAAGCCATTGAGACACAAACCTTGCATTTCTGCATGATTGTCTAGCTTCCGCTTAAAAATCTCCACAGATGGCGCTGTAGTCACGGCCGCCGGTAAAGCGTTCCAGAGACGGCAAACACGAAGCGAAAAGAAATGTGATCGCACTCGAGTCTTTGGTCTCTGGTGTGCTATCCTTAGCGGGTTACCTCGTGGAAGCCTATAATCGCTTAATGGCAGGATGCTTTTATTTGGGTGGGCCTGGTCATTTAGGATCTTGTAGACGGTGATGAGGTCTCCCCTGTGCCTACGGTAACTGAGTGTGAAAAGACCTAATTTCTTTAGTCTTTCCTCATATGATTTGTTGCGGAGGCCGATCACCCATTTTGTCGCTCGTCTCTGGACACTTTCTAGAATGTTAGCATCCCTTTTGAGTAGCGGAGGTGCAATGATATTATGCACCTCAAGGTGTGGCCTCACATATGCCTTGTATAGCCTTAAGAACAGTTCGGGAGTGAGAGCTCCCAGCTGCCTGTGCATAAAGTGTAATGTTGCGTAGGCTTTGGCGACGTCCCTCGAGTAATTTCCACTGGTGTCTAGCTTTTCTGTTAGAATAAGACCTAGATCACGCTCTGATGGAACACAACTCAAGTTCTGGCCACCAAGGGTGTAATTTACACTCTGTGACCTGCCGGAATGAAGCTGCACTACTTTGCACTTCTTTAGATTGAAAGGCATTCCGTTAGCCAAAGCCCAATTTCCCAGAGTTTGCAGGTCAGCCTGCAATCTATCTGAGTCTTCCGATGAGTTTATTGCTCTCCAAATCTTTACGTCGTCAGCGTAAAGAAGCGCAGAGCAGTTTAGTTGGGGGGGCAGGTCATTGATAAAAATCAAAAACATCAACGGCCCTAGGATAGAACCCTGAGGAACCCCTGATGCCGAGGTGTGCCAAGATGATCGGATGCGGTTGACTTTGGTGCAGAATTCTCTCTCGCCTAAGTAATCTGTCAGCCATGCGAGAAGTGCTCCAGAAACTCCCGCCTTGCCTATTTTGTGAAGGAGCAGACCATGGTGAACTGTGTCGAATGCTTTCGCAAAGTCGAGAAAGATCACGTGGGCTGGTACCTTTTTGTCCCAGGATAGTGTCCAATCGTTCCAGGCTAGTAGAAGATTCGTCACGCAGGATCTTCCCCTCCTGAAACCGTGCTGTGCTTCGTGAAGAAGGTTAGTCCCATCGAAGTATTTTCTCATGTGGTCGTCAATGAGACTTTCCAATATCTTCGATACCACTGGAAGTAGAGCAACTGGTCTGTAACTGGTCACATTCTGCCGGTCACCACCCTTGAAGATAGGGGATAGGATTGCACGTTTCCATTCACATGGAAGTTTCCCTACATCAAGGGAGTGTTGGAACAGATCACTTAGGGGTTGACAGAGACTTTCTGAACACTGCTTCAGGACAGATGGTCTGATGCCATCACAACCTGGAGACTTTCCCGAAGCCAACCTTCCCAATTTTGCAAGTACCATAGCCGGGGTAATTTGAAATGTCCCCAGCAGGTTTTCGTGTGTTGGTTCTGCGATGTAATCTGGATGTTCTGTAGGGGTAATATCCTCGTTACTATTTAGTTGCCTGTGAAAGGCTAGGCTGAATGTCTCTGCCATTTCAAGACTAGTAAGAGATTTCCCATCAGAACCCACTAGATTGCATGCTCCCTGGTTGGTCGGTTTTCTTTCGGCCATAAACCTGTATAGGCTTTTGGGGTTCACGAGAAGCTTATTGGCGAGGTCTCCCTGAAATGTCCTTCTATCGCTCCGGACTCGTATGTTACATCGATTCCTGAGTTCAAGGTACACTTCATATTCGGGTTGACTCTTCGATCGTCGCCACGCGAACCAGGCTTTACGCTTTGCCTGCAGAAGGCGTTGTGTCCCTCTTTTCAGCCATGATCGTTGCTTCCTAGCTTTTGGTGAGACTAAAGGAACAGTGTCTGAGACCGCCTGGTGAATGATCTCCTTTACCACTCTCCAGTGTTCTTCTACTGTTAGCTCTGTCCATTTTTTAGGCCAGTTTGCTTCAGACAGAAGTCTTCGCATTTTGGTAAAGTTGGCTTTGTTATAACACAGATAGGGCTGTGTATTGTCCCACTGTAAGCGCTCGCGGAGGACTATGTCGAATACTATGACCGCGTGGTCACTACTACCTATGGGAGTCGTGATCTGAACGTTTTCCACTAGTAGCTGGTCACTAGTGAGCACGTAATCCAGTCTAGAAGACTTCCCATCAGGGCCCCATCTAGTATCCATCTTGACATTTTCAGTGAATCCAGCCTTCCTGATGGTATGCAGCAGATTTCGATCAAATCTATCATGGGCTTTTCCCGACACCAAGTTAAGAGATGGGGCATTGAAGTCACCAGCTATGACAATTTGATCATAACCCATGTCTTGAGTCGCTGAAATTGTATTTAGCAGTACCTGGTTGTGGTCTGCTCCACATGAAGGTGATCGATAAATGCTGCCCACTAGATATTTGCAGTACCCAACGGTGAAGTGGCACCATATGGAGTCAGGGAGCTCTGTGAGGGGAGGGTCCGTCGCGTGAACACATCTGAGCTGTTTGTCGACGTATATGGCGACTCCACCTCCTTCTTTCAGGTCCCTATCTCGCCTGACTAGGACCATATCATTTATACTGACTTCGCTGTCTGCCACCGTAGGGGTTAGCCAGGTTTCCGTCAGTATTATGATTTTGGAGTTTAGTTGTGATTGTAGGTGTCTAAGTTCAGCTATTTTGCCTCTTAGCCCTCTCACATTACTATACAGGCAACTGGTAGTCAGTCTCACCACTTCCCCGTATTGGGGGGTAGTTGACTTGATATTGGCTATCGGTTGAGGAGTTATCCTACGAACTAGTTGGCCGATTCCCCAGGAACCGGCCTGTTGGCGTTTTTTTCTTCTAGTTCAGTTGGAGCACTCGGATGACACTGGCTATCATCGTCCGTGCTGCACCGCTGTAGTGTGACTAGGGGTTGAGGATTTTCTTTTACTACGCTTTGTTCTCTCCTTTGAGTGCGAGGCCGGCTCTCGCAGCAGCGAATGTGTTTGCTGACCTTGTCCTTGGTCTCGTACCATCTATGGAGAGCGGTAGTCAACTGGTCTTGGGAGCTGAACTTGACAGCTAACAGACGTGGCGAGTTAATTGACATAAGATGAGTGGGTCGAGGCAGTCTATAAATAGAGACAGCCCCTGAACTTCCCAGGGCCATCTGGGATGCTAACCATCTCCATTGTTGTACATCATGACAATGCTTTTCGCAGGCGTTCCCAGTTACCAGTTCGGGAATGCCATGCACAACCATGGAGGCAGAAGGAATGAGCTCTGGCGACTCCCTCGCCATTTGTCTTTCCTTCCACGGCCTGTCTGGCTTAACACGTATGTTACAGGCCCTCCCTATAGAAAGGACTTGAGAAGCCAGTAACACTTTTTCAACATCCTCGGTAGAGCTCAATGTTACCCTCAGTGGGGATGGTTTGCCTTCAGGTGCAGCAGTGCCCCTATACAATCTGCATAGATTTACTGGTTGGATGTCCAAACCCAGTGTGCTACTTAAGATGGACCACTGTTCCTGATCAAATAGGGCCCTATCTTTCAGCAGACTACTGCTACAGTCTGGTACATTAAAGAGGATTACACAATTTGATCTGCTAACCGTGGGCTTGGGCTCGGTCCTCGCACGTTTGTGATCACCTTTAAGACCGTTTTGGTTTGACTGGTGCGACTGGGTATTTTTATGTGTCTCAGTGCTATAGCCAGCATTACTGGTAGACGGTTGGGGTCTTTTTCCAACGACGGAAACCCGTGGTTCTCCAGCCTCTGTGTCTGGAGCGGTTATGGCAAGAGTTACAAGTTTAACCGGTGAGGATTTTGGTATCCCCGGTTTACGCGCGTTTGTACTAACTTCCGGATTGGTGGGGGTCGAGCTTTTCACCTTTTTCCCCGCTACTTCTGTGCCACCTTTAGTTTTCAAAGGACTACGCGAGGCTACATCAGGACGGCAACTCGGGCATATGTACCAGAACCATTGGCATGGGTTTTTACGCATAAAGTCATAATATGCTTTTGGTACCCCACTGTCGCATCTGCAATGCACCCATCGGTTGCAAAAGTTACATTCGAAGGCAGAGTCTGCTTGTTCGACAACAGAAGCACAGACCTTGCAGTCGTCTGTCTTCTTGGGGAGCGTTCTTGTCGTCTTGCGACGTCGTGAACGTTTCTTTTTGGCCTTCCTATTTGTTTCATGGTCTACCATGGGGATGGGTGTTATGAAGTTCTCACTTAGTGCAATTTTCCCACTCGGATCTGTTAACCTAGTCGTGTTAACAGGGGTGGAGCCACATCCACTTGGCTGACTTTGCACAGCTTCACTGTAGGACTGTGGCGACATGGGTAATCTGTACGAGCTGGGAATATTAGCCCTGGTCTTCAGGACCGGTATGCGTGAGTCCATCACCTTCTCCTGTTTGCCTAGTTTGGCTGAAGCCCTGGTAACTACAGAGTATGATGTCCCATTACTTATTTTAGGTTGAGAATCTATTGTCATTTTACTCCTAAATTAATACTGGTGATTAAATAATAAGAGACTGTTATTTTGTCCAATAGACTTACAGCAAAAGACAATAGAGAGCGCAGAAAAGAAGGATAAAGTATGTAAGTAAAAGCTTTAGACTTTACCTGTAACTTTCGGGTTATTCGGTTTCACAGCAATCACGTAACAGACCCACAAGTCCTGTATATTTGAAAGAGTGAGGAGGGTGTTGCTACAGAAGTAGCACTTCCGACAATATTAACATTTATTGTTGTAGCTTATTTTAACTTACACAAGAGCGTGTGAAAGATTTATTAAGAGTGTCAACATTAAGAGATGGAACGGAAATACATAGCATAGCGTTAATAATTTCTTTGAAAAGTTTCCATAAATTAGAAGGGGTTTCACATGACAAAAATCTTTGATTATATAAAACATTTAGTCTTTTCATTTCCAGTTTTAACAGAATGTTTAACTTTTTTACATCAGGCTTATCATTTGTTTTGAAAAACAGTTCTTTATCTCTACGTAGCTTTTTGAGATATGGCGAAGATAAGCGATCAAATCGAATGAATAATGTTTCTTTAGGACAACATATTTCGAAACAGAATTTAAGATAATCGGTAGTGTTTGTGATTGTTTCATCTAATGTTTGTTCTGTAAATAAGTCCCAGTTAGTGTCTTTCAACATGCATCTGAGCTTGTCTAGGTTGTCTTTTGAGTAGCATCTCCGTTGAACTTTACTGTGGAGGTGAGAGAGGACACCTTTGCGTGATTTGGAATATATTTTAGGCAGTACACGTATGATACAGTGGTCAGAGTTAAGTAAAGGAGCACGTTTGCGAGCTTCATATATACCAACATCATTGATAAATACTAGATCCAGTTTTTTACCAAGACGGGTGGCAAAGTTAACAATATTGTCATGACCAAGTGATATAAGGAAGGAGCAATCGCTTCCATTGAAGTCGCCAGTTACTATTGATAAAGAGTTCTCGAAACAAGCTGCAGCAAAAGCGGTGAATTCATCAGCGAACATAGATAAATCCAATATGGTACAGCCAGGAGAGACATAAACATTAGAAATATAAATGAATTTGCATTTTGACATGTGTTTCGGGCGACATCTCACAGTGATGCAATCAATGTAGTCATTCGAGAATTTGAAACAAACTTTGTTAGAAATGGACCATTTTGAGTGAATAAAAGTCGCAACACCTCCGCCACATTTTTTCTTGGAACAAACACGGTCTTGTCGGAAAACATTAAAGTTGTTTAGAGACACAATATTGTCATCGTATGAGTTATGGAGCCAGGTTTCTTGTAGAGTGACAATACCAGTATTGTGGTAGGTTCCGGATGACAACACGGACTGAAAATCCAGAATTTTATTAGGCAGGGACCGGCAGTTGGTACTAATGATAACTGGAACAGTGGTGTGATGTATGGGTGTAGATTTTAGGGCACGCTGCCAACCTCCATAGTGCTTTTTCTTGAGTTTATTGCAAATATGAAAGTTTTTGGGTTTAAAACGTTTTATAAAATCCCGGGAGTGGATAATACGATTAGAATGCATAATGTGATATGTAAATACCAATAAAATACGAGTAAATAGATACAAAATGTACATGGAATGTGGTAGCCCAAAAATGTTGGTTTCTTAGCATATCATGTGATGACTAATTGATAAGGTAATGCTGTGGGCGCTCTGTTGTCCCATGAGATATGTTCCGATAAGGTAAAAGAACGCAATTCCAAGGCAGAACTTAGGACGACTGCCTTGAAGTGATGACCACTAAAACATCCATTGTTGATGGTGTAAAGATTATGCGACTGTTCAAACGGCATCTTCCAAGTTTACCAACATACATAAGACACCTCAAAAATAGCCAGTCATGTCCCTCAACTGTCATTGGTAGTGGAGTTTACTATCATATTGGTTTGCGAAGTATACTCACGCCTATGCTGAGTTGTTGGTGTCAGTTTGCATCTTTTGATTGCGTTAATCTGCAGCTGAATGTTGATGGATTGTCAATGTTTAACAATGGTACACAGCAAGTTTGACCGAAATTGGGTCGACTGGTGAAACCGTTTCTTAGTGATATATTTCTTATTTGAGTTTATAGTGGTTTTCATAAACCGTTTGACTTCAATAACTTTTTATTGCCAGTTGTAACTGACATGGAGGACTTATATGCACATGGCTTGCAAATCAATGAGTGCCAATATCGGTTCCCGGCTTAACAGTGTTATCTGCGATAAGCCTGCAAGGTCTTAAGTCACTTTTACAGCGAGTCAACAGTAGGAACGGGTGTAACAGATGTTGCGTTACTGGCAACTATGTAAACAGCCGGATGGTATTCAAGGATGTTAACACCGTAAAACAACAGCTCAGGCAGTATGTACTATGATTTTGATGTGGTTTTGTTCTCTGAGCTGGATGGTTAATTTGCGAAGCTTTCACCACCCTACTGGGTGACATCTTCAGCGTATACTTCAATTTGAAGACTTCAAGTATGTACTATGTTTTGACAGCCTCTACCCTGATGAGTTGGTTTACAATGTGCATGCTCTTCAGCATTTAGCTGAGGACGTCTCTGAACACGGTTGTCTGGATACCTTTTCAGCCTTCCCGTATGAGTCACATTTGTGCCAAATCAAGGGAAGGGTGAGGAGTGGCTTCAGGGTAGCAAAACAAGTAGCCTCTCGAGAAGTCGAAAGATGCGTGTTTGCAAGCTCTACAAATGCAGGTAAGCCCTTTGCTGAGCTAACCCCGCCATGCGTTACAGTTGATTTAGCAAATCAGTCATTCTGTGTTGGCAAGATTTACTATTCAACTGTTTCGCCTGACCGATTCGTGGTAGTAAATGGTGTACCTGGGATTATCTGTGGTGTGGGTGAGGGCAATGTATTTAAATTCAGACCTTGTTTATAAGGAACCATTTTTTAATAAGCCTTTCGATTCAACGAAGCTTGATATATACAAATCAGGCCAGTTCTCAGGGGACACTGAATGGGTTGCAATTAATACAATTAAATATAAATGCATTGCAATACCCATAAATCACTTCAACGTTTTCATCCCAATGCCTCACACATCGGCTAGATAAGCTGTTGCCATTGTTAATTTGTGTTGTTTCATTGGCGTCCGTTGCAGTTAATGTGGGTCATAGGTAAGAGCCGACATGATCGACAAAGTGGGTTGGGTTTGCTAGCATATCAGTTTGAGTTTAGACTCTCTATACCTTCAAGTGGGGGACTTTTAAGGTAATTCGTTCTTCATTCACTATTGTACCGTTCCTTTCAGAATAAATGGGCAAATACCGTATTGCACTGATTGATGGGAAAAATGAGGCAGTGATATGCCGGAGCTCTTGGTTTCTTGTTGTTTGCAGCCAAGAAAATTGGGATAATGCCTATGAGGAGGAGTAACCCAAGATTGATTGGAAGATGGAGTATTGTGAGGTGATTTTTGAAACAGGTTAGTCGTATCGACACTTAACTATTTATCCAGATGACTTGCGAGAGGGGCTCGCAAAGCACAAGGCCCTGCAAAGAACATACAGCACTACCAATTGCAGTCAGTCATCGAAGTCTACTGTAGTTTGCACGCAAAAGCGTCAAAAAACGTAAGCATCGTTTCATACTTGACTGAATAATTAGAGCACCGAAAAATGACGTTTTTGTAAGTAATGACTACCCATCTGACCTCATGGACAAGCAGTGTAATGTCTTCGAGGACCCCGATTACGCAGACCTTGATAGCAGTGCATCTGATTCAAAAAAGAATATAAGGTATGACAGATATTCAACCTTACATTACAATGAAGTAGTTTTGGATTAATGGCGAAGAGTTCTTCACACATGGTGGCTGCTACAAGTACGCCTATTATGTAAGTAATACCAAACTTAATAGCCATTTTTTCTCAGGTCGCCCAAGGATACTTATGTTAAGCGGCCTAGGACGGATTCTGATGATAAATTAGCAGTTGCAGTTCATTCTTGTTTTATGTTTATCCTATAATTATCTAACAGTTTGTATTGAAAGACTATGTGAAATGCAGGCGAGATTAATTAAACGTGTGGACTTTGCGTTGGCAACTTTCAGTGGTTGCACAGCTGACGATAGAGAAAACGATGTCAGGCTCCCGGTGAAAACATTTGCTATACTGGAAATTTTTGAGCGAAAACTTAAAAACAGTAAGTATTTTGAGGAAATAGTAAGGAATTCCATCCAAGTTTGTTTAATTGGTTCGTTTCAGATGTACCAATTCTCATCCAATGTGCAAAATAACCCAACCAGCTCGACACGCCGGTTGCTGAGCGCAGTCCTAAATAAAAGCCTCGCAAGATTGATGAGTTATAAGGGAACTGCAGATAAGACTGTTATCCGTGACTTCACGTTTTTCCAGCTTATAATTGGTATGTTGACTTTCTGTAATAAGAACATTGTATACTTAAAAAAATCCAGATTGTCATCACTCGTGAGCAATTACAACTCATGGAACCAATTTTTGGTGGCTTTTACAATCGCTTCCATTGTTTCCTCCTCGGCGGACCCGAGTTGTAATTACTTACGAGTGATGACAATCTGAATTTTTTTAAGTATACAATGTTCTTATTACAAAAAGTCAACATACCAATTATAAGCTGGAAAAACGTGAAGTCACGGATAACAGTCTTATCTGCAGTTCCCTTATAACTCATCAATCTTGCGAGGCTTTTATTTAGGACTGCGCTCAGCAACCGGCGTGTCGAGCTGGTTGGGTTATTTTGCACATTGGATGAGAATTGGTACATCTGAAACGAACCAATTAAACAAACTTGGATGGAATTCCTTACTATTTCCTCAAAATACTTACTGTTTTTAAGTTTTCGCTCAAAAATTTCCAGTATAGCAAATGTTTTCACCGGGAGCCTGACATCGTTTTCTCTATCGTCAGCTGTGCAACCACTGAAAGTTGCCAACGCAAAGTCCACACGTTTAATTAATCTCGCCTGCATTTCACATAGTCTTTCAATACAAACTGTTAGATAATTATAGGATAAACATAAAACAAGAATGAACTGCAACTGCTAATTTATCATCAGAATCCGTCCTAGGCCGCTTAACATAAGTATCCTTGGGCGACCTGAGAAAAAATGGCTATTAAGTTTGGTATTACTTACATAATAGGCGTACTTGTAGCAGCCACCATGTGTGAAGAACTCTTCGCCATTAATCCAAAACTACTTCATTGTAATGTAAGGTTGAATATCTGTCATACCTTATATTCTTTTTTGAATCAGATGCACTGCTATCAAGGTCTGCGTAATCGGGGTCCTCGAAGACATTACACTGCTTGTCCATGAGGTCAGATGGGTAGTCATTACTTACAAAAACGTCATTTTTCGGTGCTCTAATTATTCAGTCAAGTATGAAACGATGCTTACGTTTTTTGACGCTTTTGCGTGCAAACTACAGTAGACTTCGATGACTGACTGCAATTGGTAGTGCTGTATGTTCTTTGCAGGGCCTTGTGCTTTGCGAGCCCCTCTCGCAAGTCATCTGGATAAATAGTTAAGTGTCGATACGACTAACCTGTTTCAAAAATCACCTCACAATACTCCATCTTCCAATCAATCTTGGGTTACTCCTCCTCATAGGCATTATCCCAATTTTCTTGGCTGCAAACAACAAGAAACCAAGAGCTCCGGCATATCACTGCCTCATTTTTCCCATCAATCAGTGCAATACGGTATTTGCCCATTTATTCTGAAAGGAACGGTACAATAGTGAATGAAGAACGAATTACCTTAAAAGTCCCCCACTTGAAGGTATAGAGAGTCTAAACTCAAACTGATATGCTAGCAAACCCAACCCACTTTGTCGATCATGTCGGCTCTTACCTATGACCCACATTAACTGCAACGGACGCCAATGAAACAACACAAATTAACAATGGCAACAGCTTATCTAGCCGATGTGTGAGGCATTGGGATGAAAACGTTGAAGTGATTTATGGGTATTGCAATGCATTTATATTTAATTGTATTAATTGCAACCCATTCAGTGTCCCCTGAGAACTGGCCTGATTTGTATATATCAAGCTTCGTTGAATCGAAAGGCTTATTAAAAAATGGTTCCTTATCTAAACAAGGTCTGAATTTAAATACATTGCCCTCACCCACACCACAGATAATCCCAGGTACACCATTTACTACCACGAATCGGTCAGGCGAAACAGTTGAATAGTAAATCTTGCCAACACAGAATGACTGATTTGCTAAATCAACTGTAACGCATGGCGGGGTTAGCTCAGCAAAGGGCTTACCTGCATTTGTAGAGCTTGCAAACACGCATCTTTCGACTTCTCGAGAGGCTACTTGTTTTGCTACCCTGAAGCCACTCCTCACCCTTCCCTTGATTTGGCACAAATGTGACTCATACGGGAAGGCTGAAAAGGTATCCAGACAACCGTGTTCAGAGACGTCCTCAGCTAAATGCTGAAGAGCATGCACATTGTAAACCAACTCATCAGGGTAGAGGCTGTCAAAACATAGTACATACTTGAAGTCTTCAAATTGAAGTATACGCTGAAGATGTCACCCAGTAGGGTGGTGAAAGCTTCGCAAATTAACCATCCAGCTCAGAGAACAAAACCACATCAAAATCATAGTACATACTGCCTGAGCTGTTGTTTTACGGTGTTAACATCCTTGAATACCATCCGGCTGTTTACATAGTTGCCAGTAACGCAACATCTGTTACACCCGTTCCTACTGTTGACTCGCTGTAAAAGTGACTTAAGACCTTGCAGGCTTATCGCAGATAACACTGTTAAGCCGGGAACCGATATTGGCACTCATTGATTTGCAAGCCATGTGCATATAAGTCCTCCATGTCAGTTACAACTGGCAATAAAAAGTTATTGAAGTCAAACGGTTTATGAAAACCACTATAAACTCAAATAAGAAATATACGTCAGAAATATACGAACGCATCAGACCAGTAGGCTCCATTATACCACGTTTGTATGGACTACCTAAAATACATAAGACAGGATTACCCCTCCGTCCAATCCTCGATATGGCGGGCTCTCCTTATCACGGAATCGCCCAATGGCTAGCCGAAATATTGGAACCAGTCAGAAGGCAAGTATCTAAGTTTTCCATTGATGATACGTTTAAATTTATTGATAGTATTAAAGATTTTAATGTCTCAGAAAAAGTCCTGTTCTCTTTAGATGTCACGTCGCTATTTACCAATGTTCCTCTCATGGAAACTGTTAGCTATTTATGTGAGTATATCGATACACATGGTTTGGAAATAGGTTTACCGACAATCCACCTCAAAGAACTTTTATTGAGATGCACGTTGAATGTTCAGTTCACCTTCAACAATGAGATCTATAGACAGAGAGATGGCATTGCCATGGGATCACCACTGGGTCCTTTGTTAGCTGATTGTTTTATGGCAAAGCTGGAAAATTCTCAACTTAGTCAAACCATCGGGCATTTT